TTTGTAGTCCTCTATACAGCGCAATGCAGAATACCATCAGCTATATAGGAATACAACAAATCCCTGCAATACATTATACATACAGTGTATAATGTATTCCTCTATAGCTGATGGTACATTGCTCTGTATAATATACAGTACAGCACAATGTACCATCAGCTACAGAGGAATAAAAATCCCAGCAATACATTATAGAGCACCATGTGTGGGAAAGTGCAATCGTACCTGAGCAGTCTTCCAGCAACTTGCTTCTGAGATCGGGCCTGTCTATCTGCCGCTGTCACCCCCCCGTCCCTGTGCCGATCGTGGATGTGGGCGGGCGGTGAGCGTGAGGCGGGGAGGAGGTGCGGCGTGTGTAGCGTGGATGCGGGCGGGTCTGGCAGCTGCGAGCGTGAGGTGGGGCGCACAACGTGTGTGGAGCTGTGGACAGGGGCACCTTATCAAAAGCCGATTAATCGATTATTGAAAAAGTTGACAACTTTTTCAATAATCGATTATAATCGATTATGTCGATTAGTTGTTGCAGCCCTACTGTGAAGGAAATTTATAGAAACTGGAGTAGATGAAATCTGGAGCAGTTGCCCACAGCAACCAATCAGCTTCTTTCTTCAGCTTGTTCAGTTAAAGGAGAACTATTGGGTAAGTGTTTTTCCCCATAGTTCTCCTCAGGGTCACGTGAGGACATAAACTAGTGTCGTCCCGTGACCCATAGCTCAGCTCGCGGTATACTGAGATCGCTGCAGCCAGGACGGATCCCGACAGCTGATTGACAGCTGACTCTGCCTATCTAGAGGCAGAACCTGCTGTACCCGCCCCCTCCCCTGTTTGTTCCTGCAGTCAGCGCTGGAGGAGCGGGGTGGGGGGGATAGAGTCACGGCTCTCTGCAGGGACAGGATCGAGAAGTGAGCGAGTGACGTTATGTGTTCACTTCCCGATCTATTGAGCCAACGTGTGACAGTTTGAGGTTGAAAGTCACTCACCTCATAGTTCTCCTTTTAAGCTTTGAAAATGAAAGAGAGAAGCTGATCGTTTGCCATGCACAGCTGCTCCAGATTTTGTCTGCTGCAGTTTTGATAAATTCCCCCCTGTATGTCCATCCTTGGTAGAAGTCACTGATTTTTTTTTTTTTTTTGCGCACACAGGTAGTGCAGTTGAGGAGTGACAATTTAAATCTGTGTGTATAGAGGGCAGCGGTCTCCTTCTTACCATAAATACATCCTATCCTACCTTTTGAAAGGCTGGGGGGAAAGAGGTGGCAGGGCAGAGGGGAATTGCTGATTAAGGTATGGGAATATGTAAGGTTTCCAGGTAGGCTGTACTTCACGGCTATGAATAGTGTGGTGCCGAGCTGTTGGAGATGCATTTGTACTGGAGGCTATTGAGTTTGGGATGAAGGACACATACAGCATGTTGCTGTGCCAGGATTAGGTGTACCGAGTTATTTTCGGTAACAATAGGGGTACTTAATGGGAAAAATACAGCTTGGATTTATTGTTGTGTGTTTGTAATACAGGGCCGGATTTACTCTCCCTGCCGCCCCAAGGCCAGGCTCTGCAATAAAACAATCCTCTGTGTGATAGCAATTGGAGATGACAGATTCTCTTTATTGACCCTGTCACCTCCAATACAGGAGTACTAGATTAGCACTGTGCTGGAACTCCTGTGACAGGTGAGAGAGGAAGAGCACAGCTCTCCCCTCTCACTGTCTACATGGAGCTGCAAGGTTAGTTTAACCCTGCCGCTCTGCTTCCTGCAGTGAGGAGAGACTCGGCAGCGGAGGACGGAGCCAGCGAGGAGAGAGGTAAGTGCAGGGGAGGACGGACCGGCCGGCTGCAGACTTTTAACATGTGATCTCGGCGATCCCGAGATCAAATGTAAACAATCGGCTGCCTCACACTACATTTAGTCCTGCTTGTGCAAAGCAGGACTAAATGTAGAAAGGGCAACATACCGCCCGGCGCCCGCAACTTCCCCACAAGGACACCGCTGCCGCAAATTGGCCGGGCCTCGGTGGCCTTGTGGGGAATACGGGCCTGTTTGTATAATGCATTTTTTGCCCAGAGTCTGCATGCACTTGGAAGCACATGTCACTTATTGTATGTTGTGTTGTGAAATGGGAGGATTGTTGCATCCTATTTATAATTTGTTCTTGCAGTTTGTAAGAGTTGCAGTGGATTGCGGTTTGCACATACATGTTTATAGGGGAGGATTGATGCAATTTTTTCCCCTAGCAGTTTGTACCTGCTAATTGTAAGAGTTGCACTTTATTTGTGTAGCGCTCACCCCCGAAGGAGCCGCTGAGTATGAAATGGGTTCTCCTACCTGTTTGTTCCAGCCACTGGTCCCCTTTGTTCAGCAACAGCACACCGACACTCACGGACAGAATGGACTCAAGTCTTAGGGTCTTTTTGTAGATTTATTTGCAAAGATCAACAGGAGAGAGGATTTGGGGCCTGTAGGATGCCCTGACGGATTCTTCAGAGGACAGCTTTCTCCCCTAGCAACTGCTAAGGCGGATAGCACTGTGATCCGGTCCCAGGGACCAATAGTATTAGCAATACTGCGAACATCCCGGATGGTCCAGTAACTTATATGGAGAAGGTTAGCTATCTCTGGACTCGGATAAGGACCGCTGGCTTCTTCTAGAACACATACCTGGAATAGGGTGAGGGATCTCTCTTGTGGGTCCCAGACGGACGCTCTCACCAGCTCCTCTGCGGTACCCCTCAACAAGAAGACTCTCCCTCCGGCCCAGCTTCCATCAGGTCTTTTCCTCTTCAGTATCTGGAATCTCTGTGCCCTCAGCATCTGCAACTGCCAAGGAGCACTCCAGATTAGTAGTAGTATCCTCTTAGAACAAGGCACCCAACACCTGCCATGTGTATGGGGCCCAAGCAAAGTTCCTATGGTGTCCTAGGCTTCCAGACCCCCAGCACCTGCCATGTGCTGAGGCCCAGGCCATTTGCTTGCATCACACAGACCTCCTAGGGTGAGGCCCTAGGAGGGGAAGAGACCTCTGCACAGTGTCCCCAGACCTTTTATTACCTGCCCTCAACCATGCCTCTGAGTCATCCTACCAGGGATTGGCTAGGGTCAGGTGCATAGTCATAATCTGAGGATGGATCCTCCCTCACTGTATGCCAAGGCTCCCTTTTCCTCAGCAACAGGAGGAGCAATCAATCCAGCAGATTCAGGGACACCTATAGAATGCAGAGCTCTGTATAATCAGTATCTAGACTGGTTACAGTCCAGGTATTTCTAAATTGAATAGCGACATTTTAGAGGGCTCTACATTTGCACATTTTGAATCTATTTGTTTTGTTTTTGCATTTGAGACTTTGAAGAATTTTGGTGAGAGGTTAATTAGAACTCCACACTTCTATATATAATATTAGGGTGTGAGTATTAATAGGGGTTAGGGTAGCGGTCATTTTTATTCAATAAAGTAAAATGTATGCCAATGACCGCAATGCACATATATCCATAGGTTAATGTGCATTGGAATAATGCTTGTTTGCTAGTGTTAGCTTGCCACACTAGTCCTAATGAGCCCTAAGGGCTTGTTCACACCAAATGCAGACCAGATCCGGTCAGGTTTCTGCACACGCACGACGCGTTTTTGATGCGTTTTTGATGCGTTTTTTCCAGGAAGCGAACAAGGTTATTTGGTCATTTCCTTTTACCTTTGACCTTTCATTAGCTGTTCCGATTATTTCCTGCTTCCTCTGACCTTGTTTCACATGTAAAATTGTTGCAACATGGATCCATGGGATGCAGGCATGCTCCTGGTGATGGTTATTATACTGCTACGCCAAAGTGCTGTAAGGAGACGTCGCTTTTGGGTGCACCCACTGATGAGAGAAAGAGATCCAAAGGGCCAGTTTGGGACTCTATATGCAGACCTTCGTGCACACCCAGACAAGTTTTTTTCATACACCCGCATGTCGATATCTAGGTAGGAATGTTTGCATGTGATGTGTCCCTTCCAAAGACAGGAAGTGACAAAGGAAGATTAGGTCATGACAGATGACCATAGAGGTTTTTTTTCTTTATGGTTATTTTTTCCCATTGAATTGCATTGCGTTGCGTTTTTTGATGCGTTTTTGATGCGTTCCAGACAAGATCCAGAGCAGGTAAAATAGGGCTTGCCGCAGTTTTTTCATCCGGTCTGGATCTGGTCTGGATCCGCACGCTGCGATGTGAACTGGAGGTCAAAATACCATAGGAATACATTGGACGCAGTTTTGATCCGCTCTGGATCTGCTCTGGTCTGGATCTGCTCCGCGCTTGGTGTGAACAAGCCCTAAGGGTCTATGATTGCTGTTTTGAAGTGATGTAGCTGTACTCTTAACATATAGGTCACCCACTCGATAAACTCTTTGATAGACATGGGTGTCTGTACTGATAATGCTGTGAACACAGGAGTCTGTATGTTGAATGCCCATGACCACATTGTTGGTTGCAGCCTTCGAGGTGCCCCTACGATTCATAGGTGTAGAATTTTCAGAATCCAGTGCAACAGTTGTGGTGTTTCATTCTTGCGTTAGCTGACTGTGGTTGTGGTATCTTGCAGAGATATGGAAAATGCTAAGAACATCCTGTCTGTCATGGAGGGATCAGGGTTAATGCCTGGAAAAAGCGCATATGTAGCATTGCTTCATGCATATGCTGAAAAAGGAGATGTCGAAGGCATCAAGCAGGTGGGTGTTTTTTTTTAGGACGTTTTACAAAATGTCATTATGTAATGAAAGTTATTTCAACAATCTACTGTTCGAGAGAGTCTACATTTTTCTGTGTAATATGTTAGGGTCTAGTCTCTGCACTAATAAACTAATAGAAGTCAAGAAATTCTTGCGTTTTCTGGGAAGTATGCTTCTCCCAGAACTCTTCAGTGCTGGTTGCAAAAGCGCAAAGCCTAGGTATTTAGTCACATGAACCCTGCTGTAGGGAAGATCAGCCAGTATAAATGTTGTTCCTTTTAGTGAATATGACAATATTTGGTAATCCTTCACACAGAGGCAATGTGACAGCGTTTCCTGATGGCCTCTTACCCCAGCAAGGTATACTCACTGATTGATTGTGCCTTCACCACCTCCCTGGTTCATCAGAGCATTTGCTTCATTGCGCTAAGGGAAAGAGGTGGGGCTTCTCATTATGGATGGATGTGTCCTCCCCTCTGTGTCAAATGGAGGAGCAGTGATGTCATCCACTGGGTAAGCCTTGACCCTGGAGTGTATCCAGAGTGGACTTCTGCAGTTTGGTGTCTTGGGAAGTTTTAACTTCATGGGGGAGGGGGGGAGCTTGGGCACTATCAGGAGGCACTGTCAGTTTGGGCAAAGTGACAGTCTAAGGAAGCCTTTGAATAGCATTCATTGCTGTTAGGGTTGGTATTATTGCACTGCTATATATTTTTCCTTCCAGATAGATTAACAGCATAAGTTCAATAAAAGTCCACCCTCAACTGATATGCCAAATTTGCCTGTTTTACCAATGAGGCATTGCACATGGTAATTTTTTTTGTTGCAAATATTCTACAGTGGTCACCAGAACTAAAGGTCTGGTAAAAGCTCCCATTGGTTAAACTTGTTTCGGCGGCAATGTTCTAAAAGGAAAATACTGTTCCAATTGGCAACATTTCTTTTCTTATATTGTTTTTGGGTCAGGAAGTGAGGAGACCTCAGAAGAGGAAGTCAACAGCATTCATCAAATTCAGAATGCTTTTATTGACTTCTTGCAATCAACATATCACAAACAGCAAATGCGATGTTTTGGGAATGCACAGGATCTCTTCATCAAGCAGTGAGCTTTTAGGGACCTGTGTCATCCCAGAATGTTGCATTTGCTGTTTGAAATATGTTGAATGCAAGATGTCAATAAAAGCATTCTGAATTTGATGAAGACATTGTGCTGGTGACTTCCACTTCTGCCGGTGGCATCTGCCTATCATTTCTGCACACGTGGGAGAATAAAAGGGGACTTGCCAGTCAAGTGTGCAATGGGCTACCTACAACGGGGAAGTGAAGAGACTCTCCCTAGTGCGCACACGCAGCAATGCAAACCTGACAGGGCCTCTAAGCCACCATCGACAGAATCGCTTGTGCAACATGTTTCCAAGTGCTACTGCACATGTTTCTAGGTGCTACTGCACCTCTCGGTGCCTTTTCACTGAGCAGCATTTCAGCACGATTACAATGATAGGTCAAAAAAACTGAAATCAGTGTTTCAACTAAATTCTCAGACTTGTGCATCTTTAACCCTTATTCAGGTGCAGTCTTCATATGTTGGTTTAAAGGTGTAACTGCTTGTTTTCTCTCATTAGACTCTGGAAGACTGTAAACTGAACCTGTCAGAAACGGTGTACTTGAAGTTGATATATTCTCTTGCAAGGGCCGGTCACTCTCAGCTGGTGCCAGATATCTTTGAACGTATGCAGGCTTGCAAAGGGTATTTGCAAGGTAATGGGGACTGATGAAATATGATATGCATATGTATATACTTGTTTACAATGTCAACTAGATGTGAGTTGTGGATCTATAGATAGATATTTATATGTATTAGTGATGCACCAAAATTACATTTTTTTTGTTAGTTTGAAACTGAAACGGAAAACGACTTTCTTCTTTTCTTTTTACAATTTTTAAATTATTTCCTAATGTTTTTTTAAAAAAAACTTTACTATTATGAGCTATGGGGAAATATCAGGGGTCTAAAAAGATCCACGATACTTCCCTTTTAAAATAGAATAAGAGATTGAGGTCTTCAATCTCTTTCTGCAGCCCCTGTTATGAATGATCAGGAAGCCTCTTTACTAAGTGCTCCTGTCCATTCATAAACTGACGAGTTACCATATCCACTATCATGAATGAACAGGAAGTCATGTGGAGCACCTCCTGTTCATTCATAACTGGGGACACAGTAAGCATACTATGTCCTCAGTTATGTACAAACACTCAGTGATCAGTACTGATCGCTGAGTGTTAGTACTCCTCTCTCCATCCTGACTCATCTGCCTGTCACAGGAGGTCAAGCAGGGTGGTGCAGGAGGGAAGCTCGGCCTCCTGTGACAGCTGTTTCCTTCTTGCACCATCCTGCTCGACCTGAAAGCTTCTCTCCTAAGTTTAAGATGGAGGAAAGTGGCAGGTTTTTATTTGCTTTCTGTGCACCATTGAGGCAATTTTCATTCACTTCCTGTCCTAGAGACACAACGGAAATTTGTAGGAAATGTCCCAAGGTGGGGGCTAATCCCCTCTTAGTTGTCTCTGGAACAGGTGTTACCATTAGAGAATGTCCCCCTTACTTCTTGTTCTGGAGACAATTCTAACATTTTGGGTTTCTTCTCGCTTTCTTTCCCCATGACAGCGGTCACAAGAACAAATAGAGGTGTGAATTTCCCCAATGACAGACACCAACAAAAACTTGACATAGGGGTAGCCATTCCCCAACCTTTTCAAATCTAAAAAAATGCCTGTTGAATTTTAAGGGTCAGGGATACGATTTACACTGATACATGAATAAAACCAGTTACTGGGCTTTGCTAACTGAGCTGTAAATAATGATTTTTAGTAAAGGGTTTAAATCTACCTTAATGATAGTTATTAATGGGTTAATTTTTCTTTATAATTTGGCTACACTTTTTTTCCCCCCCCCCTTGGTTTACACAGTTTACGGCAAGACGCTGAAGATGTAAAACCTGTTTACTTTCTGTGTTATAGGCAGAGATAATACTTAATTTTTTTTTCTTTTCCATCATACAGACGTGATGAATCTTTGTTTGATGTTACTGACTCAAGGCTATGGAGATACAGCAGTACTGGTAGCAAAGAGGTTTGTTCCCCTCCACGAGTTGGATAGCGATCTCAGTCATCAGCGGGGCAACTTTTTTCTACGGCATTGCGTTCATTTAAACATGGTATGATCCTTTTTGCTTTACAGATTCTGTATTGGGAGTTGGCAAAGTATATGGAAGAAAATTTGCAGCACAACAAAATTAACTGATTTCTTTAGTTTGCGCAGCAGTTGTAGCATGGAAGAATTTTGTAGCCAGGTTGGAGGCTGGCAGTATGTAGCTCATCCGATGTTGTGGACTAGAGTCTGAGAATGCTCCACTACTTGCCAACATTCAGAATGTTTTTGGACGTGCAGTTGTCTTGGAACCAGCTTAGGGCCTTTAAAGTGACACTTAACTCAGAAGTTAAACCTTAAATGCATACAAGCACCTTAACTAGTAACAAAAATATATCCTATTTGTGTAGATCCTCAAATCATCTCTGAATTCATGTTGACACTGTCCTTCCTGCTGAAGGGTGGCTACTTTTGTTAATCATGGCCCCTGTTTATGTTGTAAAGTAGCCACCCCTCCAAGCTCACCCCCGTCATAGACTACATTCGCAATACAAATTAGTGAACTTAATGTGAGATTGTAGTTTATCATAGGAGCGAGCTTGGAGCGGTTTCTACTTTGCAACACACACAGGGACCATGGGGGAAGAAAAGTAGCCACCCTCCAGCCGAGTGATACACAGCCGATTGATACACAAATAAGATACAATTTTGTTACTAGTTGGGGTTTACTTAAATGCATTTTTAAAGGAGAACTATGGGGTTAAGGCTTTTCCCCATAGTTCTCCTTAGGGTAACGGGAGGACACAAACTAGCGTCATCCTGTCACCCTAGGCTCAGTATACTGAGATGCTGCAGTATACCGCGAGCTGCTGTTCGCGGTATACTAAGACGCCGCAGCTGAAGCGGATCCTGACAATTATGTCTAGATCCGCCTAGCTGCGTGACTGACAGCTGGCTCTGCCTATCTAGAGGCAGAGCCAGCTGTACCTGCACCCTCCCCTGTCCGTTCCGCCAGTCAGCGCTGGTGGATCGGAGCGGGGGGAATCCAGCCCCTCCCCTGTCAAGTCAGAGAGCCGTGACAGGATCAAGAGGTGAGCGAACCCCGGTATGTGTTCGCTCACCTCCCGATCTACTGAGCCGACCTGTGACAGTCTCATTGTCACAGGTCGGCTAGAACTATGAGGTGAGTGAAAAGCACTCACCTCATAGTTCTCTTAACTCCTGAGTTTAGTGTCCCTTTTAAATAAAAAAAAAATTGTTGACAAATTGCACAACTGACTTAGGAAGTCAATACAAACTGCACTAACTCTTGGCAACCAATCAAGAGCTGTCTTGTAGTAATTGTTTCCAGCAAATGTGATTGAAATTTCTTGCAGTATAATATGTGATTTTAACAAGTTGCTGTTAGTTTTTTGATGTCCTGTCATGCTATTCTGAAGGAAGGTCTCCAATCTGTAGGCATGAATGGCGAACTGCAGTTCAATCCAGACTAAACTATAGAATGCGGGAGTTCAAACAGAACTGCAGTGCATGGTTTGGGAAGGAATGGACTTTGTTGAAATCAGGGCCGGTTCAACTGTACAAACAGTGCGTTCCACAGCAGTCAGTATCTGGAACTCGCTGTATCGCAATATGGCCAACTCCTTACGTTCAGGGGCGGGAGGGGACGTGGCGGTGCATTGAAGTCAATAGCCGCATTTTTGCAGCTCGCACTGGACCGGATGTGCCGTGTGGACGATCACACTGCGGGCGGGGAGCGGGGCTGCGGTGCCATCGACTTCCCCTCCTGCTCCTAATCGTAGGGAGCCGGACAGGTTGCAATACAGTGCGTTCCAGAAGCTGACCGCTCTGGAACGCACGGTTTGTGGTGTGAACCAGCCCTTAAAGCTGAACTGCAGGCAAGAATGCAAATAACATAGGTGAAATACATATATGGGGGCTGCTTTATCAGTCAAAGGATTTGTTTATCAGTCAGCCAGTTCTACCACACACACAGCAGGGCAGAGATCTGATTTTTCCCTGCTGCAGTTAGTGTAACAAAAGGGAAGTAATTCCAAAATTTTAAGTTGCCACCAGAACTGCAATAGAGGGAAAATCATGCAATAGGAATACTTGTTCCTTGACAATGGTCTAAAAAGAGTTTGAGCTCCAATTATGCTGTGAGTAACACTTAAAGGTCTTTTCCGATAGATAGATAGATAGATAGATAGATAGATAGATAGATTTACAGGTGAAACTCGAATAATTAGAATATCGTGCAAAAGTAATTGCAGTAAGTTCTGCAAAAGGGGCCCAAACCAAGTACTGAGTACATATGCATGCTTGTACTTTTCAGAGGTCCGATATTGTTCTATGTACAATCCTTGTTTTATTGATTGCATGTAATAATCTACTTTTTTGAGGTTGTGGATTTGGGGTTCTTGGGGTTTTCATGAGCTGTAAGCCATAATCATCACAATTATGACAAATCACGGCTTGAACTATCTTGCTTTGCATGTAATGAGTCTATCTCATATATTAGTTTCACCTTTTAAGTTGCATTAGTGAAATAAATGAACTTTTGCACGATATTCTAATTATTCGAGTTTCACCTGTATGATGGGTAGAGATTTACATTGCTCTTCTACAATGCAGTTCTTGCAGGGTAGAAGACCTGATTTTTCTTTGCTGCAGCCAAAAAACACTGACAGGTCTTGTCCCTCCCTCTGCCTATGACTGGACAGTGAAAGAAGAAACCTCAGACTGATGAGCTCATGTCTGTGCACTCTCCTATTGTTATGCTCTCTGTTAACAGATTTAACCTGCAGCACAACTGATCATGGCCACAATAAGAGAGCTGCTGCTTCTTGTTTCCAGTGCAGTATGTTTTAGTTTACGTGAATCTAAAATACATAAACCGTACACTGAAGTAATTTGTATAACAGCCATATAAAGCAGTGGCAGCCATTTTATATCCTAATCTAGTAATCCAGCAATCTATTTAGAATCAGTTGAGTATAGTATAATTTTACGTTAATTTTGTACAATAGCTCTCTCTCTCTCCTTTGTGTTGGTTTTGGTACATGTTTTAATGTGATTTGTACTGATTTTTTTTTTTTTTTTGTAGCCTGCCAACATCATAAAGAAATATGCCTCTGAACTGCAAGAATCTGATTTGCACAACACTCCCCTGCAGTTTGCTTTACTTTGTGCTTTGGAATATGATAAAAAAGGTAACCATTTTTTTATGTTGAGGTGTGTTGTTTGGGCTATGCGATTATTAGAGCTTGGAATAAGCCCATTACAAGCCATCATTGCTTCCCTTTTTCCTGTTCTCAATTGGGGGACACAGCATTTCATTGGGCTATATGTCATTCATGTTGGAGACTGATCAAAGTTGCTTGTCCCCAGTGGGCTGTGTGTGTCCACAAGACACGAAAACTCGCCATACACTGCTTAGATTTTCAAAATAACTTTCATATGAAAGAACGTTTCGTTCGACTTTCTAATAGTTTATGGGGTCAAATCGATTGATTTTGACTGTAGTGGTGAAAAAACTTGAAGGAGCAGGATGGAACATTTTTCTCGCATTAATGAAATTCTGACTGTGAATGTGGTTTTCGATGAACATTCGTCAAGTGTCTGATGGTATAATTGGGTGGTAAAGAAAGATCTTTCGTACGAATGTTGGTTTGGAAATCTTCTAGTGTATGGCTAGCTTAAGCCTTTCAGGCAGGTGGTCTCTTCACTCTGGCTTCTTTGTCGGCACACTTCCTTATACCCCTTCACACCTTTGCATTGCAGTGTGTTCCCGCGTGCCTGTTAAGCTGCACTAATACTTATTAGTTTGCGTTTTGGCAGCCCATTACGTTGGTCTCCCAACGCAGCACAATTCAATAAAAAAACAGCAACATTTTAGCGCATTACATGTTGGAGCTTAGGTCTGTTGGCTACTACTGTGTTTGTGCATCAGGATGCCATTCAGAAGAAATGGCAACACATTGCAGTCACCATGTGATGTTTGTTCGGTATAATGCTGTTGGATAGGGGTGCAGCTAACAATTATTTTCATAACCGATTAGTTGCTCGATAATTTTTTTCAACTAATCGATTGGCTGCATTAAAAATCAATCTATCTCTCTCTTTCTCTCCCCCCTAACCGATAATGAGAATAGTTGCCAATTATTCTCATGATTATTGATTTTAATAGATTAGTTGTTGCAGCCCTACTTTTGGCGCTGCTCTGTTAAAAAGAGTACCTGGAGGCAGTTTTCTCTGCCATCCCAGTCCTTCACCAGTGCATTTATAAAGGTGCAGAAGGTGGAACGGGGTGGTGATAGCTTAAATCTGAACTTCAGGTAGATTTAAAAGACACAGGTTTATACAACACTGTATTAATTAAATAATTATATGCGTTTGTCTATTGAGGGACATGGGTAGTCTATACCCTTTGGGTTATACTGCCGCCGGAGGATACTGCAGGAGGATTGTACACTGGCATACAAAAAATTGTATGCCAGCCCAGGATAACACCTCCTACTACCCGTATTTCAGTTTTTGGCCAGTTATATGAACGTCTGCTCTTCTGCTCTGCTGTGGGGAGGACTTAATCTATATTTGATAGCAGGATTTTTTTTTTTTAGTCAAGACTCTTCTCTTTACTGCTGGTAGAGCTTGTTTTTTCCAATGAGTCCAGACCCTGCTGGACTGGATGTTGGGGGGGATAGCTGGACACTGGGTTCCATGTAGGGCGCTTTTTCGAGTTCGTTTTTGTAAAAGATCAGCATGCCTCCTGATGGTGCTAACATTTACAGCCTGGAATCCTGTTGCCCTCTGCTCCGAGTCTATTCTGCCAGTCCTGTTTACCTTCCTCAGGTATGGCTGCATCCTTTATTCATTCGACAGTCATGCGAGGTTTTATGGCCCAAATATGTTTGCTATTTGCGGACTCTTACCTGCAGAGGCTACAAGTGCAATTCTGTGACTTCTCCCACAGTATCTGATTGATCCTGTTGTCTTTGCGGCTTAAGAGCCATCAGCTGCAAAGGGTGTTTCCGCGTTTTCCAGTCTTTGACTGATGAGCTTGCCTCTGAGAAGCTGCAGTACAGTGCTGTTACTCCAAAAGAAGTAAGAGGAAGCTAGAGGACCAGTCTGTTGCTCCTACCAGGGATATATCCAGTTTTGGGTCCTTAATAGCTGCCAAGGCTGCTCTTTCTTTATGGAGATTGGAAACACCCCGACAAGCTGTTTGGCAAACCCCCCTTTGGAGGATTTTCTACAAAAATGGTCTGCTTTGCTACAAAACTGAGGCATGCTACAGTAGTAGGAGGGGTTATTTTGGGCTGACCTACAACTATTTTGTTTGCCACTGCCCAATACTTCTGTAGGTGGCAATATAACCTATGATGGAAGCCTGTGTCCTTCAATGGACTCCCAGAAAAGGATGTAATGATGAGAACAAAAATCCCTTTTTTTTTTTCTTTCTCAGAAGCACTGCCAGTACTGGAATTTGGCGTGGTATTGGCCTTTTGCAGTCTCCTGTACAGCAGCACTCAGACTGAGGGAGAGACTGGAGGGACTGGCTAGAGAGCCAATCGTGTGTGCTGCATGCAAATGTGTTTCATTAGTTCATTGCCTGTTTATACTCCTTTAAAATATCTTGTTATAGGCTGGGGGAGGGACACAACCTTTTATTTTTACTTAAACACTAAGTTCACTTTCAGAGAAAGCACAGTTATTTAGTTTTCAGATCTGACCCATACCTCTGAGATTTGTCGGCCGGTGCCTCTGTATTTGTTTACAGTCTTCTCTCTGCTGGCTGTGCCTGCGCTGTAGAGCCCCATCGACATCTCTGGGGCTTGTCTCCTTGTGTGTTCTGGCTGGGAGACTAAATTCGATGAGCCCTATACCTGACTTGAGTTTGGCTTTAAATAACGTTTCCTGTTTTAATTTTTTTTCAGACATGGCACTTGAGCTTATGAGAACCATGAAAGAAGAAAGATTACCTTTAAGACCGCACTACTGCTGGCCTCTGCTAGCTTCGTTCAACAATGAGAATGATATACAAGGTAAAGTACCACCTCTGTGGGTAACTGGAGAAGACAGCCTGTGATAAAGTCTGCTTGTCTTTTGCATAAACCACAACCCTCTCCCCTGCTTCTTGCCTGTCTTGGGTGACAGAGATTTCATACATGCACGAGTGACAAGTAGGGACTTTGTAGAAAAAGGAGAGATAAACAAAATAATCTTTCCAAATACTAGGGATGCATCAAAATGGAATTTAGAGACTGAATCGTAAACCGAAAATAAAGAATTTGTCAGACTGTACCGAAAATGATGTGTTTTTCAACCTTTAAAAACTTTATTTTTATTTATTTCTACTTCTGCTGCTTGTTGGCTCTTGAGAATATCAGGGGTCGAAACAGAACCCTGATATTTCCCTTTTAAAATAGAAAAGGAGATTGAGGACGAGTCAATCAGCTGATCGGTGAGTGTTTGTATACCGCTCTCCATCCTGAATCTGCTGTCCCACGAGGCTGAGCAAGTGTTGGGGGGAGGAGAGCTCCACCTCCTGTGACAGATCACAATGCTCTTCCCTACTCACTGCTCTCTATCCTGACACAGGAGGCGGAGCCGTAAGGTGCGATACGAGTGTTCTGATTCCTGTAACGATGACGACTGTCACTGTCCCGCTTCGCTCGGCATCCTGACTAATATCGCTGCCCGCTCAGTTTCCTGAAAGCTTCTCTCCTCCACACTTAGTGCCAGCTGCTGCCCAGTGGGGAGGAGAGAAGCTAGGGATACACTGAATTTTTTCCGCTGTCGTTGCATTTTGCCAAAAGTGCCATTTTCGGCGGCCGAGATTTCGGAGCATCCATACCAAATATGTTGGAAACGGCAGTGCTCATATGTACTTCTAGTGCTTATTTGGTATCCCCTGCACTAACCATGTAATGCCGATGATGCTTCGATTGGTTGCATTACTTATGGGGCTGCATAAGGCATATGCTAAGAAATTTGACCCACTTGAGTAATCTCTAGTTTTGGGAAGTCAGTCATATGTCTATATCCTTGTAATTATGGACCACATAGTCCAACACAAATGATTCACACCATGATGATAGTTTGCCTCTTTGACCTCACTTTTGGCTTCTAGTGCTGCGAATGTATGTAGTTTTAAAGGTTTTTTGTTTTCAGCTTATCTATGTTGGCCTCTTTTTTCAGGATCAATGTTCTGCCTAGTACAATATTTTTTGCTGCTATACCCTTACTAGTGTTAATTTGCCTATGAATGGGCAGGCAAGTCACCCAGATCCTCCTTTTCAGCCTCATCATCAGTTCACAATTCTCTCTAGTTTTCTTTATTAAACCTTTACAAAGTGCAAAAAAAATTGGTCTGCTCTGGGAACGTGGCTTTACAGATTTAGAGGACCACATGATGATCTTCCTTGCTTTAACAACCTAAGTATGTAAATTATAGTGTTTTACAATTTTTTCTGGAATTTCCCTTTAACTTTGCATAGACAGAAGTTATTAAAACGGAACAGAAACAACCACATTTTTTATTAGGCCTGCAATTGATCTTTAATGCATTTTGGTTAAGATTCTTATACTATTGTGAACCTTCAGGCTCCATGGGCATTTCCAGGTCATTCCAGCATTATGCCCAACACAGCTGCTACCAACTGCTTCAAATGTGGGTGTTGCAATTTGCTATAACGCATCCTATGCACATGCGATGCTTTGGATTGCTATGGTGCCAATGCACTACTGTACATTATGGTGCACTGTGTCAAAAATAAAATAAAAATGCGGGTTATGTTTTTTCTATTTGCTCTGGAACCTTGGCAACCCTTTCAAAGAATGAGCTGCCTAATACAACATGCAACATAATGTGTATTAAAGCAACGCACCAGGGCAGACAAGTCAGAATGGGCCCTTATACTTTGCCACATTGTATACTGGATCCCAAATTTAGTCTTCCATATACTATGGCACAGGTTTGTTTTCATGTAAATTAATGCCATTGTGGATTACATGGGTCGGTATTGAAAAACTAGTGTCATTTATCGGAGTATGCCATCATCACTGTCCCCTTCCTTAAATTATTGCCACGGAAGTGCCCATGTATTCATAAGCTTACAACCCACTCCCCTAGTTCCCTTGTTAGGGCTTTTTGTTGGGTTTTTTTTTTTGTGCTAAAACTTTCATGCAGGAAACAACCATGTATGTTTTATAAAAGCTAAAAATAATGGTTCATAAAGTATAATTTGAGCGCTCCATGGAGTCTTGTGTGCATCACTGGTTTATACAGCAGTGATACCTTCTATTTGTTAATCTTTTTCAAGTTTCAAAAATATTCTGAGGTTGATGCATAATGACTACGTACCCTATTTACTGTGCTTGTTTTTTGTTTTTATTCCCACGTTGGACCTACCTTTTTGTCTTGTTGAAATTCAGTGTTAGAACTAAATTTTGGGAACTATAACAGATATCACTCCCGTTACCTTTTTTCTTATAAATATAAATTACTGTATTGCCTTCTTAAACAATAGACATTCTTACACCAGAATGCCAGATTATTATGACCACCTGACGTTTGTAGGCAAATTGGCTATAATTTCGCGCTGAAGTTGCTAGAGGGCCAGACCATCATAAATAGGGAAGCAGGTTGTTTACCACGACAGTAGAAGTGATTTTTTTCTGAAGATATGGGTAAACAACGCGATTTAACAGCCTTTGAACAGGGGGTAATTGTTGGTGCTCAGAGCCATGGAGCGAGTATCGGCAAAACAGCAGAATTTGTTAAATGTTCATGAGCAGCTGTTGTTAAAGTGTTTAAAGACTGGACTGTCAGCCGAAAATCTGGGTCTGAACGTGCGAATTGTGGCCGTCAGCGACTAGTCAATGTTAGGGCAGGACGGAGAGTGGCAAGACTGGTACAAGACAACAGAAGGGCAACAGTGCATCAAATTACTGCAGATCTTAATCAGGGATCCTCTCAAATGATCTCTGAACAGCACAACATACCAAAGTATCGTTGCTGATCAAGTTCATCCGATCATGTTGATGGCGTATCCCAATGGAGATGGCTTCTTCCAACAAGACAATGCGCCATGCCACGGTGCTCGTATTGTGCAGAAGTGGTTTCAAGGACCATGAGGGAGAATTTACTTTGCTTAGGTGGCCCCCACAATCACCAGTTCTCAATCAAATTGAGCGTATCCACAACCATCAAATCTCACAGAACTGGACAGTGTTATTCATCAGGCATGGTGTCAGATTCCTCGCATCACCTTTCAACATCTCGTGGAGTCCATGCCAAGAAGTATCGCCGCAGTATTGAAGGCAAAAGGTGGCCCAACGAAGTACTGATGGGGTGGTCATAATAATCTGGCCACTCAGTGTATATCATCATTTTAGTCTCAAAAGAATCTTCATTTAAAGATTAAGGACAGTTCCACCGGATTCATTACTTTGCCCCCATACACAACAGTGATTCCTGAACTGTGGGTTTACATAGCACAGTTAGAATTTAAAACACAAAGCCATTTACCAGCTGGCATATTGAAGGTTCATATTTTGAGTTTCTACGCTCTTGTCCGTTCTAGATCTGAAAACCAGAACTCACTCTGTATCTAGAGGGACTGTAGGACAGTGGTGACCCGAGCCATGACCAGAGCATCCTTCAGCAAAAAGCTAGTTCTAATTTACATAATTTGCAGTAGTGGTGATTGGGCCAGTAGGTGCAGTTAATGTCATACTTTTGTAGCATAATCTTCATACAGACTACAATAACAGTATCTTTAGGTCTTTTGGGGTTTTTTTTTTTTAAGGTCTAGAGTCTCTCCTCTCCTCTCCTCTCCTCTCCTCTCCTCTCCTCTCCCCTCCCCCCCACAGCTAAGGCTGGCCATACACTGCTCTATTTTTGTTGTTCAACCCGCGGGCAACGTTTCCTTTAACGCTACGAGTGTGTTGATCGAGGAATCCCTGCTGTTCTTTTTGTATTCTGGCAGCAGCCACTGGCTCATTGGCTGCCAGCTCTGTTTGTTCAAAGTTTTTCCTATCGACTCTTTCGATCAGCTAATTGAGGGATGCTGGCCCAAAGGGTGCCAATGTTCTAGTATAAATATACAGTTGTACTGTGTCAGCACCAGTATAATTGATGAAAAGTCACATTTCTGTCACCTGAGGACAGAAGAACTAGGCAGATCCCTGACCCAAGCCAGTTGAGCAATGTTCCTTGTTATAATGTCTCCATACGTCACTCCTGCTTGGCACGAATTGAATTGTCTCTAGAAGGAGATGAGTTGCCGATACTAACTCTAGCTGAGAAAGTATTTGACCTAGACTTTTTAGAATTGTAACAACTGCACAGGGGGCATTCTTTATTTTTGACCATGATATAATGTTGTTCTGGCATTTGAGTACTTATTTCATGGAAGTGGGGCCACCAGCCAAGTCTCCTTTTCACAATTCTAGTTGCCCAGCTTTTATATTTACCCTAAAGCTGAATGCTAGGCAAATGGTAAATAAACGGATGGATTGCAAGGTTTGCCTGCCAAATGATTATTTCTTTAAATCTAGTTCTGGGATTTACACAGCTCTTCCATGCAGGATAACACATGCAGGGTCGAAGACCTGATTTTTCTCTGCTACAGTCAAGTAACACTCGCATGTCTTGTCCCTCACTAAGCCTGGGACTAGACAGTGAAAGAAGCAGCAGCAGACTGATGAGCTCATCTCTCGTCACTCTGCTCTCCCTCCTTCTCTATTAGTATGACCTTTATTAGGACATAAGCACTGCAGCACAACGGATTTGCTCCCTGTGCTGCTTCTTCCTCTTTTAAAATAAACATTAATTTGTTTCTATCTGCCTGGAGTCCAGCTTTAAGGCTCTAGTGCATTGTTAGTGGTCGCAAGTAGACCCAAAGTATGTAATTGCATGCTTTGCTATGTTTATGTATGCTGCGTTGTCAATAACCTGCAACAAGCATGCTACCATTGACACAGTACTGAGGGCCAGAGAGGACTATAAAACTCGTGGACTATAAAACTAGTGGTGTAA